TTTCTTACCAACTAAGTTGAGCTCGAAATGAATCTTTCATTGCAAAATAAAAAATAAAAAATTCAAACAAAGCCCAGCAAAGTGCGTTACGTAATGAATGTAAAACTAAATAAACTTTTTTATTTGATGAACAATTCGGCAATATTTGCATAATAATAAAAAAAAATGAATAAATAAATAGCAATCAAATAAAGAGTAAAAATATTCCTTAAACTAAATTCAAGAAGTGTTTTCATTTACTTTTTTGTTTTTTATATCCGCTCTTGGCTGACTATTCAGTATTATTTTCAAGATTTGGAGTAATGTCAGGTAATCTTATATTTTCAAATGATATTGTCAATTATATTTTTAAACAATAAAGTAATGTGGGTAAGCAAAATTGAATTGGATAGAAATTTAAATTGTAATCAACTTTGTTTGCATTTATTTATAGATTTTAATTTGTTTAATCTATACGATTTTATTTATCTTTCGATTTGTAACTGGTAAGATTTTCTAGCTTTTACATTGAGCAGTATGCACATTATTTCATCCAGTACTGTACTGTTGAGTGCCAACCATGAGCTTTGACGAGCTTGCTGCTGGCCATTTATTTGGACACAAACCGTCAATTTCTTACAAACCAATTGTGGATTTTGATTCAAGGAAAATAATTAAAACGTAAATATTGAGAAAAAATGTTATCTTATTTTTTTATTATAGAATTTTTGTATTCATATTCTTACCATTAAAAATTTGTATAAATGTAGTATTTTTTTATATTATTATGATTAAAATTATTACAGAATATTAATTTATTTTTAAATACTTTCTGAAAAATGCTGAAATGGTGAAAAAATTTACGCACATGATAAATTGATTGAATTTGCTTATTATTAGTTATTATTGGTTAAATAAAAAAGTAAATTTAAATTTATTTAGATATCACATTACCTAAGAATATAATTTCATATCTTTCATACCTTTCAAACCTTTTTTTGTTTCTATATACGTTTATGCTTAAATATATCGCATTTATTATTTGTATTTAAATGATCCCAATATGAATTAAATTATAATTCAGTCTATTTTTTAAATATACATCTAGATTTTTCGACATACCTAGTTTTATATAATTAAATTGAAACTATAATTATATATTATCTTAAAAAATCATATTAAAGCATCTTAAATACATTTCTATAAAATCATACTTAGCAAATGGAATTAAACGTTAAATGAACTTCTCCGCAACGCAATGTGTATTCGTAATCTTTGAATTATGATTCAGATTAACATCGCCTTCTCCCTTCATCTATATCCTTCTCCCTTTTGTTTTGTTTTGTTCTTTTAGCACAATGGGATTAACTTTCATTTTAAGTGATTAAATCAAATGTCAAATGTCAAATGGCAGACCTAAATGGGAAATGTAAATGCAGCTGCAAAAAGAAATTTGATCTGTAGCTTTGGAACGTCACATTCGATAAAAAAGTACAAAAAATAGGGAGGCGAGAAAAACTAAATGATTGTTAAAACAAAAATGTCTTTTGTGTAAATGTGTGTGTGTTACATATTTTAACGTTTTTGATTAGCTTTCAACCCTCTTGTGGTTGGTAAATCCAAAAAGGTGTCCGAAAAAACACAAAAAATTAAGCGCCGCCCACTGAATGCGTGTGCGTACTTAAAGAAGAAGAAGCAGCCAACAGCAAAATTGAAAGCCAGCGAATGGCAGGACACTAGAAAAGCTTTTCAATTAAGGCGACCTCGTCGCGCTGACGTCAGTCGCTTATATTGCTCGGCTCTGCGTGGGCGCTTCACGAGAGCTTTGCAGCTTAGCCAAGACGTAAACCAAACGCATAGGCTATGCCGGCGTGCAGCTTTCATTGAATTGGGCGCAACAGGAGCAAGCAATGCGAACAACGTTCAAGTTGAAACCGTTTGCCGAATATGGTCGGTGTTCGGCAGTCAGCGAGCGAAGTCGTAGCGTATAAAACAAGTCGTCGTCGTCGTTAACATTGCATTCGTTTCGTGCGCGTCGAACCAGTGAACCAACCAACCCAACCAGCGCTCTACGCCAAGTAACGGTTAAAGAACACAGTTTTTGAAATCAAGCAAGAAAAAATTTGATAAAACAAAAAACTTATGAACTGTCTATTTCTTGTTCGAAAAACTAATCAGAAAAATAGAGTTTCAACATTAATTCGCGTTTTTCTGCAGCAATTTCATTGACAAAGTTTTTGCAAGCTAATGCTAGTTTTTCGTCTCTGCGTGTTTCCAACATAGAGTTGACTGACAAATTTCGATTACAGTTAGAATTTTCAGTGCAGATAAGAAAGACAAAAACAAATTCCAGTTAATCAATCGTCGCATCGCGCTATAAACGGTAAACGTGCGTTGATCTAATTTGTATTTAATCTATTTGCCATCGCTGAAAAGCAACAACAGCCAGGTGAGTTTTCT